CTTCAAGATCCTTCTTGGCCTTCTCGTCAGCTTCCTTCTTGGCCTTCTCGTCAGCTTCCTTCTTGGTCTTGGCTTCAAGATCCTTCTTGGCCTTCTCGTCAGCTTCCTTCTTGGTCTTGGATTCGAGATCCTTCTTGGCCTTCTCGTCAGCTTCCTTCTTGGTTTTGGCTTCAGCTTCCTTCTTGGCCTTTTCGTCAGCTTCCTTCTTGGTCTTTTCGTCAGCTTCCTTCTTGGTCTTTTCGTCAGCTTCCTTCTTGGCCTTCTCGTCAGCTTCCTTCTTGGTCTTGGCTTCAAGATCCTTCTTGGCCTTGGCTTCAGCTTCCTTCTTGGTCTTGGCTTCAAGATCCTTCTTGGTCTTGGCTTCAGCTTCCTTCTTGGCCTTCTCGTCAGCTTCCTTCTTGGTCTTGGCTTCAAGATCCTTCTTGGCCTTTTCGTCAGCTTCCTTCTTGGCCTTCTCGTCAGCTTCCTTCTTGGTCTTGGCTTCAAGATCCTTCTTGGCCTTCTCGTCAGCTTCCTTCTTGGCCTTCTCGTCAGCTTCCTTCTTGGCCTTCTCGTCAGCTTCCTTCTTGGCCTTCTCGTCAGCTTCTTTCTTGGTCTTAGCTTCAAGATCCTTCTTGGTCTTTTCGTCAGCTTCCTTCTTGGCCTTTTCGTCAGCTTCCTTCTTGGTCTTGGCTTCGAGATTCTTCTTGGCATTCTCGTCAGCTTCCTTCTTGGTCTTGGCTTCAAGATCCTTCTTGGCCTTCTCGTCAGCTTCCTTCTTGGTCTTGGCTTCAAGATCCTTCTTGGTCTTTTCGTCAGCTTCCTTCTTGGCCTTCTCGTCAGCTTCCTTCTTGGTCTTGGCTTCAAGATCCTTCTTGGCCTTCTCGTCAGCTTCCTTCTTGGCCTTCTCGTCAGCTTCCTTCTTGGCCTTCTCGTCAGCTTCCTTCTTGGCCTTCTCGTCAGCTTCTTTCTTGGTCTTAGCTTCAAGATCCTTCTTGGTCTTTTCGTCAGCTTCCTTCTTGGCCTTTTCGTCAGCTTCCTTCTTGGTCTTGGCTTCGAGATTCTTCTTGGCATTCTCGTCAGCTTCCTTCTTGGTCTTGGCTTCAAGATCCTTCTTGGCCTTCTCGTCAGCTTCCTTCTTGGTCTTGGCTTCAAGATCCTTCTTGGCCTTCTCGTCAGCTTCCTTCTTGGCCTTCTCGTCAGCTTCCTTCTTGGTCTTAGCTTCAAGATCCTTCTTGGTCTTTTCGTCAGCTTCCTTCTTGGCCTTCTCTTCAGCATCCTTCTTGGCCTTCTCGTCAGCTTCCTTCTTGGCCTTCTCGTCAGCTTCCTTCTTGGTCTTGGCTTCAAGATCCTTCTTGGCCTTCTCGTCAGCTTCCTTCTTGGCCTTCTCGTCAGCTTCCTTCTTGGTCTTGGCTTCAAGATCCTTCTTGGCCTTCTCGTCAGCTTCCTTCTTGGCCTTCTCGTCAGCTTCCTTCTTGGTCTTGGCTTCAAGATCCTTCTTGGCCTTCTCGTCAGCTTCCTTCTTGGTCTTGGATTCGAGATCCTTCTTGGCCTTCTCGTCAGCTTCCTTCTTGGCCTTCTCGTCAGCTTCCTTCTTGGTCTTGGCTTCGAGATCCTTCTTGGCCTTCTCGTCAGCTTCCTTCTTGGCCTTCTCGTCAGCTTCCTTCTTGGTCTTGGCTTCGAGATCCTTCTTGGCCTTCTCGTCAGCTTCCTTCTTGGCCTTCTCGCCAGCTTCCTTCTTGGCCTTCTCGTCAAAATCCTTCTTGGCCTTCTCGTCAGCTTCCTTCTTGGTCTTGGCTTCAAGATCCTTCTTGGCCTTCTCGTCAGCTTCCTTCTTGGCCTTGGCTTCAAGATCCTTCTTGGCTTTTTCGTCAGCTTCCTTCTTGGCCTTCTCGTCAGCTTCCTTCTTGGCCTTCTCGTCAGCTTCCTTCTTGGCCTTCTCGTCAGCTTCCTTCTTGGCCTTCTCGTCAGCTTCCTTCTTGGCCTTCTCGTCAGCTTCCTTCTTGTTCTTAGCTTCAAGATCCTTCTTGGTCTTTTCGTCAGCTTCCTTCTTGGCCTTCTCGTCAGCTTCCTTCTTGGCCTTCTCGTCAGCTTCCTTCTTGGCCTTCTCGTCAGCTTCCTTCTTGGCCTTCTCGTCAGCTTCCTTCTTGGTCTTAGCTTCAAGATTCTTCTTGGCATTCTCGTCAGCTTCCTTCTTGGTCTTGGCTTCAAGATCCTTCTTGGCCTTCTCGTCAGCTTCCTTCTTGGTCTTGGCTTCAAGATCCTTCTTGGCCTTCTCGTCAGCTTCCTTCTTGGCCTTCTCGTCAGCTTCCTTCTTGGTCTTGGCTTCAAGATCCTTCTTGGCCTTCTCGTCAGCTTCCTTCTTGGTCTTGGATTCGAGATCCTTCTTGGCCTTCTCGTCAGCTTCCTTCTTGGCCTTCTCGGAATCTTCCTTCTTGGGCTAGGATACAAGATCCGTCTTGGTCTTGTCCGCAGCTTCATTCTTGGACTT